AAGACATGAATTGGACATGTATGCCTAAAAAGCAACAACTTTTATGATGTTTGGAGATTAATAAGGCATTATGGAGAATATGAGTGAGCTGGTTGAAGGATTAAAAGTTTAATGCATTAAGCTGGTCAGGACAGTTCTCATGACGTACATATTTAGCCTCAACGACATTGCGTTAAGTAGGAATTGCTTAGCCATGATGTGGTGACCAATTTATGGAATTTAAAAGGTTGACTTTTAGCTTTTTGACCAAGTTTGACTTGAGGTAAATTTGAGGTTTTGGGCTATAGTTTAAGAATTGGTACTTGTTTGTTGTATAGGTGTCCTATAGTACCAGTTATTGGATTATATGAGATGTGTTGTTATATGCTAGACTGTGAGGTGGGTTTTCTCACTCTACTTTGTATTACAATATGTATCCTTGTGTGTAAGATGTTGGTATGCTGTGGTGATCTGTTAGATTGGTAGATCTGTTATGATTACTTGCGAGTTGTTGGTTATTGTTTATCTATATTAATATGTCGATGCATTGTGGTAGGGTTGAGGCAGTCATGCTTTGTACTATAGACCAAGATACTCGGGTGGTCCAGTGTACTGTAGGCATTGCGAGGCGGTCCAGACAAACTATAGGCCTAAGGGAGTGGTCCAGTTAGTGTAGGCCTTACAAGGAGGTCTAGTAGATTGTAGGTTCAGTAGAATGGTCCGACTACTATAGGCATTGCGAGGTAGTCCAGTAGACTATAGGCTCAATAGAGCGAACCATGCATCCTACAAGCCTTACGAGGCGGACTGAAGGCTCATATGTGTATGTATTGTGTGTGTATTGTTGTACGGAGTATTTTGGGGGAACTCACTATGCTTAGGCTTAAAGTTGTGGATTAAATGTTTTTCAGGTACTTATCGGATAGCGAAGGTTGGACTCTACACTCGCATATCAACCATTATATGCTTCGATATTTCGCAATGTTTTCTTTATACTTTGATTTTGAAGTATGATGTATGAACAAATGGTTTAAGTCAAAAGTAACTTGATTAAAGCAGGTGTTTATTCTCTTTTTAAAAATGAAAAATTTTACTATGGTTTTTGGGATATTACAACCGAACCATAACCATTATAAGTGGTCAGTGCATTTCTGTAGCCATTGGGTATTGGTTAATATTGGTTTTGGTTAATGATTTTATTCAGTTAATGGTTATGGTTAAAGGTTAATATTGGTTAACCATCATGGTAAAAAATGAGATAAAAATTAAAAAAAAAAAAAAATACTTTCCGATATAAAGTGAAAAACGTAAAGTACATTGTTATAAAAAGTGAATGATTAAGTGTTTATAACTATATTAATATGATAGAAGATTATGTATCACATTTAATTCCAAATAATTACCTTTAAAATTTCAGTTCTTACTACAATTACATAGCATATATTTAATATTATATTTTATTAGAAATATCTTATTAATATTGTTGGTTCGCTTAAGAAAATAGTGGTTGGTTTGTGGAAGAAAACCATAACCAAACCATATGTATTTGGTTAATCAAAAATAGAAAACGTACTACTTTTTTTAGTAATAGTTCGGTAAAAATAGTTCGGTTAAAATGATTCATTTATTCAGTTAATTTGGTTTTGGTTTAGTTTTTTGGCTAATATGTTCACCCCTAGTAGACCTAGTAAGATACTGAAAACTCGTATTTTTGAATGTGTGGTTCTGTAACAACAGTGAACCAAAAACAAGACTGGTCTTTTACCTCCGACGAAGATAACTTTGGTCATGATAAAAATTGCCGAAAATCGAAGATGAAGGATATTTTTTTTTTCTACGAAGATTTTCACAGGGGTTGGGGGCGGTGTTGTGTAGTGGATGGAGATGGTGGAGCAATGTTCGGGTTCCTAAAAGGGTTAGTGGTGGACGTCATGAAAGATAGAGGGATATAAAGTGAGAGAGGCAAGTAGATGTCAATCAATGGATTTTCAATAGTTTTCGATGGTGATGTAGTGGTTTTAGCGGTTGTTCGTTAGTGGTGGGCTGAAGTCCTAAGTTTAGGGTTCTATCTTCTTCAACCGAGAGGAGAAAATGAGAGATGTGATAGTTTGGTGTGGTTGGGGTGAGACTCTTACGTTGATTAATTATTTATTTCATTTTCTATAATTAGCAAATAATAATAATTGAAAAGGAAAATATAAAGGGTAATATAGTTTTTTCATTTCGAACGACTAACACAATAACGGTCTGAGTGTAGAAAACACAACTTATATACAATTTTCATCAATAACTTTATTTTAAAAACAATTATTGGTATTTTAAATAATAATCATATGATAGATGAAATTTTAAAAAATAGTTAAATTAAGAAAAATGTTTATTTAAAAATTAACGTGAGGATATGTTTTGTTTAGTCCGTGTTTGACAAAGACAAAGAATAAATTTATACAGAATTACACTTTTGGCCCTTGTGGTTTTCTAAAACAAACCTAGTAGTAAGGTCACTATGGTTTTTTTTTTTTTTTTTTTTTCATGCAAAATAATATTTTCCTTTTTATCTCCCTTTTTATTGTTTTATATGGTTTTAAAGTTGATTAAAAAAAGAAAAAATAACAAACACCACATTCACCAACTTCACCGTGCTATTCCACTCCTACAAATATTCGAACAATTCATCATTATGTGTCATACCATTGAGATATACCATTGTCCAACATCCAAGTATCTACAAAATTGGTTACGTTAAGGCCAAAACTTCATTTTGTCCATTTTATATTTTTATTACAACAACAACGACAACAATGTCATTATTGTCCGATTCACCCCTCAAGTTTACCTTCTTTAGTTGTGGATAATCTCTTATATAGTATCTTATTTCTTTGCAGTTATAAGATTTAATTTTGGGAGAATTTCATATATGCCATTCCTAAACATCAAAATATCATATTTAACCAACTTAATTTCTAAATATCATATTTACCCTTTATAAAATTTCTAAATATCATATTTACCTTTCATAAAATTTTAAAATATCATATATGTCCTTTTTAAACATCAAAATATCATGTATACCCTTCTTAAATATCAAAATATCGTATATGTACATTTTAAACATCAAAATATCAATGATAATATCTAAAATAATGTCTATCTACAACATGATAATAATCAACAACAACAAAAACTAGACAATCAAAATATATATTCTATATAGAGGGTTGAAGATGAATTTTTTTTGTTTGTCAAGAGGGCGACATTCCAACAATTTAGAAGTTCACATTCCATTATAACAGACGTAAGGATCATATGGTTAATATTTTTAATTATTATAATAATTCTAAGGTATAAAGAATAATTATAAAATATTAAAAACATTATAAAAATGATTTGGGCAAATATGATATTTTGAAGGTTTATGAAGGGTAAATATGATATTTCAAAATTAAGCTGGGCAAATATGATATTTTGAAGTTTAAGAGGGGCATATATGAAATTCTCCCTTTAATTTTAATGGAAGCTTTAGATTTAGAACGTGATTTTTCAATGTTTCCACCATCTCTTTATGTTGTTTTTCCCTTGCCTGTAAACTAAACTTGAACTATAAACATCTTCACTAGCATAAGCCCTTTGTTTCACTTCTTTAAACAACAAATAATCCTTCATATCATTCATAATAATCGTTTCTCTACCATACAACAAGGTATCAATGAAATTATCATAAGAATTCAGTAACATAATAGAATAAGAGCTAGATCTACATCTCTATTCTTTAGATAAAAAACCTTGTAATTCTTGTATACTACGATTAAAAGTATCACAATAGTCTTTTATCCGAATACTTTCAGATCATCCCAATGGAACACAAAACATTTTTTCTAAAACAACCAATATGCTATAAAATTATTCTAATACTTGTTGTAGAGTTTCTCCGAAATCCCAACAACACTCATTTGATCGACAATTTGAAACAAGCTAAACATAATAACGCTATGAGCTTATACCAAAATATCTTTTTTTAACATTTCAACAATGTCTTCCAGTAGTTTCGTTTCACATTCAAAAATCTTTGCATGGTTCTATTGAACTGGAAGAACCCTCATTTTCACCTTCTACAAAGTGAAATTGTTCGAACCATTGAACTTCTCTAAATCGAATTTGCGATACGATATCTCTTCAATCGACATAACAAATTGTAGTCTGATACCACTTGTCGACAATAAACGAGGAAAAAAACCCTTACACAAGGACACATTTTGTAACGTGGTTCAGTCGATATAATTTACATTCATATGGCATGAAAGAACATTTTTATTTACGACCTTGAAAATAAACAGTATACTAAAACCCTAACTATAAGTCATATTATACATACAAAATCCAAAACATAACCCTAACTAAAACATAATATGCCCACTTAAACATAGCAACTTCGAGCCTAAGTAGCCATAAGCCTACTCCAATGTGTCGAGTTTCTTTGTATTACATGAACAAATGGATATCCTCTTACTCTCGTAGGATCGTTTCAAATCACATTTAACAAATATAATATTTTATATATTGGTTTTAATGGAGATAGTATATGAACTCACCAAATAATTTAGTAGTAGTTAGCATTCTTTGAAAGGTGTGTGTGAATGGTCAGGCAAACGTGATGTTTGGTTTGGGGGTTTGGTAAGGAATAGTGTTGCTTAACAAGTCTACGTTTGATCATCCACACCATCGATTAGATTAATGAGATGATAATCAACGGCTGATATTAACCTTCAACCAACACACGGTCGCAACAAGGCCACTAAGCCTTCTTACCAACCCCCCCCTCATAAAATCAAATAAAAACACTCTTTTTCTCACCTACCAGAAAATTATAAATAAAATTAAAATATCCACAAACACAAAATCCACCATTATATAAACCACCGAGTCGTCTCCTCTCTCCTCCAGCAACCGCCACTTCACCACCTTCAATCCCTCATTCTCTCTCTCTCTCTCTCTAAAAAAACCAGACTCTGTAATTTCTGATAATGGGCAGCACAGAAATGGAGGTTGATAGCCATCAAAACGGTGAGAGAGCGGAGTTTTGTGTGAAAGGGGATCCCTTGAACTGGGGGATGGCGGCGGAGTCATTAAAGGGTAGTCATTTAGACGAGGTGAAGCGGATGGTGGCGGAGTTTAGGAAGCCGGTGGTGAGATTGGGTGGAGAGACGTTGACTGTGTCGCAGGTGGCGGCGATCGCCGCCAGTGATAACGCTGGGGTGAAGGTGGAGCTGTCGGAGACGGCGAGGGCGGGGGTGAAGGCGAGTAGTGATTGGGTGATGGAGAGTATGAATAAAGGAACTGATAGTTATGGTGTCACCACCGGGTTCGGAGCTACCTCTCACCGGAGAACGAAAGAAGGTGGTGCTCTTCAGAAGGAGCTCATTAGGTAATATTTGAAGTTGAAACTTGAAACCGCTGTAAAAAATGAATCGACTGTTGTTTTACTTTCGAGAAAAGTCTCAATTTTACATAAAGATTAACTTTTTATGGTTTTTGACAGATTCTTGAACGCCGGAATATTCGGTAATGGCACAGAATCAACCCACACACTTCCACATTCAGCCACAAGAGCAGCCATGCTTGTCAGGATCAACACCCTCCTTCAAGGTTACTCCGGCATCCGATTCGAGATCTTGGAAGCGATCACCAAGTTCCTCAACCACAACGTCACCCCTTTTCTCCCTCTCCGTGGGACAATTACCGCCTCCGGCGATCTCGTCCCATTATCCTACATCGCCGGTCTTCTCACCGGCCGTGCCAACTCCAAAGCCGTTGGACCCACCGGAGAAGTTCTAAATGCCGAAAAGGCCTTCGCTGAAGCCGGAGTTGAAGGTGGTTTCTTCGAGTTACAGCCGAAAGAAGGGCTGGCACTTGTCAACGGCACCGCTGTGGGATCCGGGATGGCGTCGATGGTGCTATTTGATGCTAATGTTCTTGCATTGTTGTCGGAAGTGTTATCGGCGATCTTCGCTGAAGTTATGCAAGGTAAGCCGGAGTTTACTGATCACTTAACACACAAATTGAAGCATCACCCTGGTCAAATCGAGGCGGCGGCGATCATGGAGTATATTTTGGACGGAAGTGATTACGTCAAGGCGGCGCAAAAGGTCCACGAAATGGACCCGTTACAGAAACCAAAACAAGATCGTTATGCTCTCCGTACATCTCCCCAATGGCTCGGACCACAAATCGAAGTCATCCGATCATCAACCAAAATGATCGAGAGGGAAATCAACTCCGTCAACGACAACCCATTGATCGACGTTTCAAGGAACAAAGCTCTACACGGTGGAAACTTCCAAGGAACCCCAATCGGAGTTTCCATGGATAACACACGTTTGGCCATCGCCGCCATCGGAAAGCTAATGTTCGCCCAATTCTCAGAGCTTGTCAACGATTTCTACAACAATGGGTTGCCTTCAAATCTCTCCGGCGGCCGGAATCCCAGTTTGGATTACGGGTTCAAAGGTGCAGAAATCGCCATGGCTTCTTACTGCTCTGAGCTCCAGTTTCTCGCCAATCCAGTCACAAACCACGTTCAAAGCGCCGAACAACACAACCAAGATGTTAATTCCTTGGGATTGATTTCAGCAAGAAAAACAGCAGAATCAGTCGAGATCTTAAAACTCATGTCAACCACATACTTAGTAGCTCTATGTCAATCCATCGACTTGAGGCATTTGGAAGAGAACCTGAAATCCACAGTGAAGAACACAGTGAGCCTAGTCGCGAAGAAGATCCTAACCACCGGCGTCAATGGCGAGCTCCACCCTTCTAGATTCTGCGAGAAAGACTTGCTTCGTGTGGTCGACAGGGAGTATGTCTTTGCATACATCGACGACGCTTGCAGCGCCACATACCCATTGATGCAGAAGCTCCGACAGGTTATCGTCGACCAGGCATTAAACAACGAAAATGACGCCGGAACTTCCATCTTCCAAAAGATCAGTGAATTCGAAGAGGAACTGAAAGCCGTTTTGCCTAAAGAAGTGGAGGGAGTTAGAAGCGCATACGAGAGTTCGACATTGACGATTCCAAACAGGATCAAGGAGTGTAGATCATACCCATTGTACAGGTTTGTGAGAGAGGAGCTTGGAACAGGGTTTTTGACAGGGGAGGAGGTGACGTCACCTGGAGAAGAGTTCGATAAGGTGTTCACTGCTTTGTGCAAAGGACATATTATCGATCCATTGTTGGAGTGTGTTCAAGGGTGGAATGGTGTTCCTCTTCCGATTTCATAGTTCTTTTGTTCATAAATACTTTCTTTTTTTATAAGTTTTGAGGGTTTTGTAAGTCGCAACTCTCATGACAAATGTGTATGTAATTGTAATGTACTATTGTATGTTTGTAATTGTACCACGTTGAGTGTACCTTTTGTTTCATAAATGGAAAGATACATTTCTTTATTTTGAATTTTCTTCATTCAAGAAGAAGAGATATGTTGTATGATGTTGTAACTTGTAAGTTACAAATTTACAATGTCTATTAATGACAATAGATAATACTAGTAGATAATAAGTAAACTAGGATAGTAGGATATTAATAAATGGGAAGAAAAAAAGTCAAAAAACGACAACCCAAGCAAAAGAATGTTATGATTCATGAAAAAGGTGAATAGAAGATACGTTTAAGGTTTAATGATTTGTTCGGGAACACAAACCAAAGTACCTTTTACGATTAATCTATTAAAGTTTTTGTATGTCATAAAATTATCTATTACTTTGCCAAAAAAAAATCGTAAAGAGACTTTATTGACAAAGTAGATGTCTTTTTGCAAGACTACATATACGCTAAGTGTTAATGATTTGTTGGGGGAACATACCAAAGGAAAACTTTTAGAGATGGGCTTTGAAAATACATTGCGAGCTTTGGATACGTGGATGTCTCTCTTCTTTTAGAGCTTCTGTTTTGATCAATGGCACTCCCACAAATGAATTTAACATAACTAAAGATGTTAAACAATGAGACCCAATCTCGTCTTTCCTAGTTATCATTGCGATGGAGGGGTTAACGTGACAATGAAAATGGCTGGTGAAAAAAGTATATCCAGGGGTGTTCAGATTCCTCATAATGGGTTAGTAATCTCACACATATTCTAAGCGGATGATGCATTATTTCTTTCCGGATCGAATTTAAAAAACCTTGTTCGGATCCTTAAATGTTTTCATGCATCCTCTGAGCTAAAAGTGAAGTTTCATAACTATAAAGTCTTTGGAATTGGCGCTTCCAGTACAGTCGGCTTCCATCATGGGATGTATTGTTAGATCTCTCCCTTTTTTATACACCGGGGTCCCAGTCGGTGCAAACATGAATCTTATGAAAAATTGGCAGAAAGTTATCGAAAAATTTCATGCCAAACTCTCTGCATGGAAAGCTAAAACACTTTTGTTTAAGGGAGATTAACCCTAATCAAGTCGATTTTAGGGAATCTTCGTACATATTTCTTATTTATATTCAAAGACCCGAGGGGTGTATTGGATTCTCTTGAGAAGCTTCGTAGGAAATTCTTCTGGGGGGAGCATGAAAACAAAAAGAAGATATATTGGGTCGAACGAGAAAAAGTTATAATTGCAAAAGTTAAAGGGAGACTTGGAGTGTGATCAATCAGAGCACTAAATATTGAATTAACTGTCAAATGGCGGTGACGGTTGCAGAACGAACCAAATTCACTTTGGGGTAGTACAAATGTTGGAATTCACAACCTAAAAAACAACTTATAGAATACCTCTCAAAGAAAAGCATTTGTGTTTCAATGACATTTTCAGGTTGATTATTAATTCTAGGAATAAAGGGAATTTTGGCAAGACAATTGGATTGACAATCAGTCACTAAAGTTATAATTCCCACAATTGTGTCAACTTAAATCACAAAAAATTGTTCGGTGGCTAACATACGGAATGCAGAGGGGTACTGTTTGGAATTGAAAAAAATAATCTTGTAAACGTTGGAATGTAAGATGAGCTCAGAAAGGTTAATCATAATTATTGATTAATTCCATCCTTGTTCTGGCCCAGATAATCGGTCTTGCCTCTTGACCCTGATGGAAGTTATGAGGTGAAACTTCTAAGGCATTTTGCTGATTGGTCTCTCGTGAGGTGGTGTAAATTGATCCCAATCAAGGTTACTTGCTTTGTTTGGAGAGTCGTGCAAGGTTGGATTTCGACAACATTAGAGTTGATGAATAGGGGAAACTTGATTGACTCTTATATGTGTGGTGCTTGTATCGAAGTGGAGGAGTGTGACGCACACATTCTGGTTGGTTGTCCCTTTGTAGGTGAGATTTAGAATATGGTGCTTAAGTGGTGTGGCTTAGATAACATTATGATATAAATCATGAAGGATCTTATCTAAACTATGGGTTCATGTGGGAGATGTCCAGAAGAGAAGGATTTCTTTCTTTGCATTTGCTATGGTATGATATGGGAAATCTGAAGAGCCAACAATGATAGACTATTCAATGGGATCTTTATTTCTCCTTCACGGTTGGTAGATGGAATTAAATCGATGGTGTATTTGTGGGTAAAATATAAGAGTACAGGTGTACATTATTCATGGGAAGAGTGAAGTTTTAAGAATCACACCCCCGACCGACGTCGGAAACGTCGAGCTGTGCGACATTTGTCATGGATCACATATATTGATTACATTGAAATATACACATAAGATATAATATAAATATCATTTTCATTATAAAATAATTTTTATATCGTACTAAGTTTTCAAAATACCTTAAATTCAAGTGCAAATAGTTCCTTAACAAATAGGCATAAATAGTAAGAATAATGCTCTCATGAATCCATGAGTGTTTCCCAAATGGTTGTTTCGTCCAACTCTTAGTTTCCTGAGAATACATGAGGTTTTTCATATGAACGAGATATTTAATTCCCGTTTAGATTATTTTGCCTAATAATCTATCGATCTCAGATTCAATTTATGTGCCCGCACTGTTGCCATGTAACTTTGAAGAATCATAACTTCCTCTCACGAATTCAGATTTGGACGTTCTTTATATGCACGCTCTCGGTTTAGTGACTATTACAAATTTCGTTTAGATTGATTAGGCTAATAAGCGACCTATCTAAAAGTCAATTTTTACGATATGTTGAGCCGTGTCGATTTAATTACGAAACTTTGAAGATGCATAACTTCTTCATATGAAGTCGGTTTACACGTTCTATATATCTACGAAAATAGTATTTACGTACATATTCATGAAGATTAATTGGGCTAAAGGATGTTATATTTCTGCTTCGAATCTTATAAACAACGGTTTATATTGAATTCTACGGAATGGTGAAAATAGAGTGTTACAACTCTCCCCCACTTACAAAGATTTTGTCCCCAAAATCCTGCTTCTAGCGCATCTAAACGTTATCTTATCAGAGTTATTGAGATCAATTCCTTGTCTAGTCAACGTTGTCGCATCTACATGCCTCATAGAACTTCATTACCTTATACGTACTTCCAATCTTCTTGCGAAATCTTCTGAAACTCAGAACTCATCACATGGAGTTCTAGAATCTGATGTTTTATGACAGAAAATCGTGTTCAGATGTGAAATGTTGACACAATCAACTCGTTATGATGTGATTACCTGGGGGAATTCATAGAAGATATCCTAACGAAATCTACTCTTTTAGAACGTGCCTTTAAAAAGGTTATAACAACCCATTATTTCAGATCAACGTAAGTCTAAACTACAATAGTATACAAGTGTAACAACCCAAAATTTAAAACCAAAAATTTCTTTTAATAAAACATTACTTAAAGCAAAGTCATCATTCCAAAACATAATATGAGTATAAGTTTTCAAAACACATGTTCATTATCAGAGTAAACATTCCCATGTTGTCTAATCTATGGTGTGTGCCATGCGATCACCCCGAACTCTTCCCTCCGCTACCGGAAGTACCTGAAACCAAAACTGAAAACCGTAAGCACGAAGCTTAGTGAGTTCCCCACCCTACCACATACCATGCATAACCACATACTGCATATACTGGACCACGCCCGCTACCTTGGGCCTCGCTCCTACCTCGGGCCTCGCCCACTACAACGGCCCCGCCTGGCTTCGAGCCTCGCTCGGATATAGATCTGTTTAACTTAGGCCTCGCCTGTCACAAGGCCTCGCCCACCAACAAATAATAACACATAAACATTTCACAACACATAACTAAACACATGCAACTGGTTCTGTCCTAAGGCCTCGCCTATCCTGGGCCTCGCCCATGTCCTGCTACTGATGAGTCATGGAATCCCGTCCACGCTCCTAATGGTAGTGAGGTACGGGCCCAGCCCACTCTCACTCCTGTTCTAGTTTGGGCCTCGCCCCTGTTTTGCTACTAATGAGATATGGAACCCCATCCACACTCTGCTATCGGTGAGATACGGGACCTCGCCCACACTCACCTTCCTACCAGGAACATACATGTATCACACAGACAACAAGTATAATCTAGCATATAAACGAATCCTTGGGCACCCGCCCGCTATTACTGGACCTCGTCCTGAATATCATACTAGCATACTATGCCTAGGGCTAACCCCCGGGTCTTCTACGCATAACTACATGGGCCGACATTGTGGCCTTAGACCCATTCACACAAAGGGAAACTCACCTGCACTGGCTGAACTTGCTGATGATCTCACTAGCTGCTGCCCGGCAAATCACTGAACTCCTGCTCCCCTTGCTCCCCGAACTACCAATATCAAAGCAATATTGAGTCTAACTGACCCTCGAAAGACAACCAAGTCAACCCTGGTCAAAGTCAACCTTCCAGGTCAACCCTACTCGCCGAGTCACCCTACTGACTCGCCGAGTTCAAAATGTTCAGATTCCTTCCATTCGCGTCTCGACTCGCCGAGTCTACCGATTTCTGAGTCCTGACCTGTCCAAATCACTGAGTCTCCACCCGACTCACTGATTCGAGTCTCAACTTGAAGGGTTTGGGGTTTCGCAACCTGACTCGCCGAGTCCAAGAACAGACTCGCCGAGTACAAGGCAATCTTCATCTGACTCGACGAGTTGTTCATCCCACTCGTCAAGTTGCTCCACATCTTCATGCTACTCGCCGAGTCCATTCAAAGGACTCGCCGAGTCCATTCAAATCCCTTTACATGCACAGGGATTTTGAGTCATGCATGGACTCCAAACTGTATATCTACCCTTCCCAAGCCTATTCCTCACGTAAAGTTTCAAACTTTACGTGTAGAGAAGGAGATCTAGGCAAAATACACCATA